TTATCAACTGCAGCCACCCACGATCACAGCCACTTTTTTTGCTTGGTCTTGTGCAAATGTTATTTCCTATTTTATGGTGTGATGTGGTCCGTTTGGATTGCATATAAACCAAGTATGTTCGAAATAAATGACTTGTATAGTGAAAGCCGGTATTGATTTTCTGGACTCAACTGGCGGGGCTAGGAAGACAAAGGACCAATAAGGTCGCTAGGTTGCTCATAGCGGTCGATACGTCATTGATTTTGCATAGTGCTAAGATTGTATAAGTTGTATTCCGATTAGCAAATAAGTCACGTAAAAATTAGCCGGCCTTAAAGACACAAGGGATAGCTTCATGAAGTGACTTGACAAAGACGTACTCACCCAATGACTATAATCTCTTGCTTGAAGCACTTGTGGCTGAAAGTTGCATAATTTACCCACTGTTTTCATCACTACCCACCACTAACGGCTTTCTACCTGGCTTATTGTCACCTCTGTTTCCCATTTTATCTTTACACTTCTGTCTTCTCACACAGCATGCATCTGTCGATGAGTGAACTTATCTATTTATTCACTTCACGAAACAATCGTTTTCTCTTAGTACTCAAATTATCACTTCATTACTTTCTGTAGTGCGACCAACCAAGCTTCTGCATGCTGATATGATAGATACTGGCATCTAGAAACCCTACTGTCATTATACAGACACAGTCACTCGAGTTACAAGATATACATACCCACAAATAGCTACCAAACTGACCAAAATTAGTGCACATGAGTGACTAGACTATCGCCCATTGCACATAACCGAATGCCTGGAACCATACCGAAACAACAGTAAGCAAGAGCAAATAAATCAATTTGTTTACACAAGATGGTGAGAAAGATATTATATATTGGATCTAAAGATTATGATAGTTTATCATTTGAGGTGTTCAAATAAGAGTGTATGATTTAGCTGAACACGTGGAATCGCTTCTCGAGGAAGAAGTAGGATGGAAGAAGAAATACATGCAAGTTATCTTAAAAACGATTTTATGTTGGACACCCTGAACCTACTTCTAATTCGCTTCCGCTCGAACAGGCGCGGGATTGTTGTCCTGTCGGTAGGTTTTTTTGGTACGGTTCTTTGTATGTGCGCCAGTATCAAAAGTCTCCAATCTTACTGCAAATGGGACTACTAGTTGTAATTCTATATGCAGTTAAGACTGTTGGTTATGTTAACATCATTATCCCCAGTGGGTTTAAAAAAATAAGTGGTGATTTGGTGATAGGATACAGTTTATTATTTATTCCAAGTCATCTCAGCAGAAACGTTCTGCTTGAATCCCCATCATTGCGCTCCACCAAATGACCTTTTAACAATTGCACATCAAAGGAAGAACACCTACATAAGGTTACCTATTCACCTTGGGTCAATTCCATTTCGAATGCTTTCCCAGCCGATGTAAGCCCGGCCCACTCAGTGTACACCCCCAAGAGGAGAACTAAAGACCATTTGTGACTAATGGCTTGTTGCCTTTGGCCTGAAACATTTGCGACAAAACCGTGTTTCACAACTTACATCAATTACCATTGATATGAGTACTTTAATTATCATCAGCCTGTTTCTACTCACTTTATCCCTTGTCATCCCCGTTTATCTGTTATTTCAAAACTGTATTTGTTTGTATCTCAGCGCAATTCACTTACTCGTGATCGGTTCCTTGCTCCTCTGCATTCCAATCTCGTAGTTTCGATCTATAACTAACCAACATACTTTATCATGATCACTGGAAGCTCTAACAACCCCATAGATAGTCAAGTGATGTTAGACTCCAAATAACTACTAAGTTCACTAGGAATAGTTCACTTTGAGTGACCAGACAACTCATTGTGAGCATTAAGGAAGTGAAACATTATTGTAACGCCAAGAACCTAACACAAAAGATCAATCGGTTTACACTCGCTTGCCACAAAGATAAGAGGCACATAATTTACTCCAGAGCGAAATGCCGTAAGTCCAGTGATTTAAGTGGAACCGATTGCTGTGTCATTTATACCATTTACCTTTTCATCTCAGTTTCTTAGGGAACTGTGCTAAGTTGCTGATTACTGAAATCAGATACATATCTGTTTGTACTTTCTTAAATTTAAATATTTTCAGCTTATTCGTGTTTGAAAGAAACAGCATCAAAGTACTTACTTTTCATACAAAATCTGAGTGGCCATGTCATCTAACATCCTTTACAACTTTTATGGTGTGCTCGGGTTACTAATGTGTTAGGCAGTAATGATACATCCAATGTTTAGTGCTTCCAAGGGCGAGACTCTAATTTAGGGACGAGCCAATCAGAAGCGTTTGAGCAATTTCAAGGTCACGGAGCCAAGTTCAACAGGCGCTGCTAACATACGATCGGTTCACAGCGGATTTTAGAGAGTAGGTGATTAATGAGAGGTTACAACAGATGGGACGGCGAAACTCTATTTTAGGGACGAGCCAATGAGAAGCGTTTGAGCAATTTCAATTATTAGCCAATCAGAAGACAGTATAAAGTAAAAATATATTAGAAGAAAGTAATGAATTACAGTGGATATTCTTCTTTTACATGATTTAAAAACCTGTTGAGGTTTGATAAAGACTCAGAAGTTCTGAATTCATAATGCATATTGTATAGAAACTCGTCCATAGGGTTAGGGTTTGGGGTTAAAATTAGGGTTAAGGGTTAGGGTTTAGGGTTAGGGTTAGATTAGGATTTAGGGTTAGGTTAAGGTTAGGGTTAGATTAGGGTTTAGGGTTAGGCTAAGGTTAGGGTTAGATTAGGGTTTAGTGTTAAGGTTAGGGTTAGATTAGGATTTAGGGTTAGGTTAAGATTAGGGTTAGGTTAAGGTTAGGGTTAGGTTAGGGTTTAGGGTTAGGTTAAGGTTAGGGTTAGGTTAGGATTAGGGTGCTAACATGCGATCGGTTTACATCGGATTTTAGAGATGTATCTACTTACAGGCTACAACCCTAACCACTAACCCTATGGACGAGTTTCTATACAATATGCATTATGAATTCAGAGCCTCTGAACCTTTATCAGACCTTAACAAGTTTTTAAATCATGTAAAAGAAGAATATCCACTGTAATTCATTACTTACTTACAATATATTCTCACTTTATACCAACTGTCTTCTGATTGGCTAATAATTGTCAAGGTCATTTAAGATTCGTTCAAAGGTCGTCGCTAAATTAGAGTCTCGCCCTTCCAAGATCTACATAGTCTTGGCGAATTTTTGTTATTGAGAAGAGTTCCAAAACATTAATAAAGCCTGACTTAGCTTCTAGACGTCTTTTCTTCCATCACATTACTATGCTGTTCATAGTTGCTGAGTGTTCGTCACCTGTGTCATCCAGTTTTTAAAGATGGTAGGCGATTGAAGAGTAGTTATAGGCCAGTTGTTTGTTGGAGCGTTTTTCCTGTTGCTTTAATCCTTGAGATTAAAAGTAAATTGTGATTTAATCTTTCTAAAATGGTCACAAACAGCTGGTGTTTTAATACCTGTCCTCTTTCTGTAATATTTGCACCTAAGGATTTTGGAGTGATTATGTCATCTATCAGTGATACACCTAAGGATTTTAGAGTGATTATGTCATCTATCAGTGATACAATAAGTCAGTGCAATGTCACAGTTTGACCTTCTAGTGTTCTATCCAGTCTGATCCTAGTTTAGGGAAGACTTCGCACCCCGTTTTTATTCAGTTATATATTTTAACACAGATATTGGCACAAGGAGGCACCAAATACATATGCACCACACATATCTCATTTGATTTGTGTGAGGGCTGTGATACTGCACGGGTGCCCAAACTGAAGCGGGTGGTTTTCTTAGGGAGCCACAACCGGAGCCTTCGACCCGAAGGTCTGATCCACAAGGCAGTGAAGCAACGTAAGGAGATGCAGTCACATGGTAGCTGGTGACCAGTGATTGGTTCCCTTAGGATACTGGGGTCCATGTGCACCACTGGTTTGGAATCAGGGTTTCCCAACTTCCTAGGTGGACTCTCCATTTCCACCAACCCGGTTAAAGCGCCGGAGATTCGCTTTTCGCCCTCTCAATTTCGTAAACAACACGCCCGCCACGAGAAGGCAATGAGTAGAACTTCCCTGTCTATGGCTATATACGCGTGGCCATGTGAGAGCATTACCAACCAAAGGCACAATCTTGCTGATTGTTTTCATCTGACAGCGTTACACGTTGTCTTGAAACTCCTGGCTCAGTAGGTGCATCACATAGAAGCTCTGTTTCGGTCGCACTTGGAGATGAGCGAGACTGAATCAAAGTATGAGTTGAGTAGTTCCTTTGAAATGAAACATCCACAAATTGTGCTTGTACATCATTTCGTTAATCTGATGTTTAAAATGGCCAGAGGCAGGTTCATTTTATATTTCCCAAATAGTTCATAAACTGCATTCCGACTGAAAGCTCAAGGCATGTAACCACTGTGCTCTAAGCTTTGTTTTCCGAACTATTATTTCGTATATGGAGATCGCAACTGACTGGTAGTTTTCTCCAGTACATACTGGATTGAGTCGACCAAAAGCCCCTGCTCAAATCACTTATTTAAGGAAAAACAAATGTTAAAGCAGACCCAGACCAACAAATAAATTTGACTTCGTGCATATACCGCCATCAGCTTCTCTACCTTTGTGAGCTATTTATGGAAACCATTTCAAGCATATAACGTTGCTAAAATGTGCTAATTCGTTGTTAGAAATTTACATTACTAGCGTAAAACATGTTACGGCAGACAGCTAGCCTGGATGTTTGATGTTTTGAGATGGGAACTTAATTTTTTGGAAATAATGGTTCCATCCAGATGACACATCCTTATCACTGACGTTCGGTGGTTTTGTTTCGATGTATATGGTAGTATATTTGATCCCCCGAGTCATTTGGTTTTGTATGTTACAGAACTTTATGTAAATATCTTTTTAAACCCGGATTTCACAAATGTTAATTGAAAAAAATCGGGAATCAACTTTACCTGCTTCAGAGTCGTCTGAAACACCAGACAGATTGTAATCCCAGCACGACTGAAAAAACTAATCGATCTGCGGACAATCCTGGGCCTTGTCTAGATAGCACCGTACGTAAAGCTGATGGGATGAGCGATAGTGATTTTGACGAACGGGATGTTTCGGTAGAAGACGATGACAGTATTCCTCCAGAGGAAGATGCTGCTGACGAGGAAGAAGTATCAAGTCTCATGAAAGTGAGTTAATGTAATCTGCAGTGTAAAATATTTTTTGCTGTAATTATATTGTATACAGCATTTCCAAACTTATTTAGTGTGAAAAATAACCAAATGAGAATTTTTTGATTTTAAACTTCAAAGGAAGTACCATGATTGAATTCAGAATATTATGAAGTATAGGGTTTCAAAATAGATTAACGATGAATCCTACTGTTGCTAACTTGTTTTAAAACTATAAATGAAAGTGCTGACTTAGTTTCCATATTTTATCAAATCCATCGAGAAGGAATGTGTACACCATTGGAAAAAATTTCTCTTGGGAGTCTGAATGTATTGCATTGTACCTAGGCACGTTAGCACTGGTGATTATATCATATACACAGTCCCATTCTGCATAAATAAAGTTGGTTTAAATAATCCAATGATAACATCGATTTTGATTTAGAATCTTAGAAGTATGGGTTATGTAGGGTTTGCTTGTATGCGTTCTTATCGAAAGTCAGTCAGTTGTATACGAAATTCCCTCGACTTTAACTTGTCTTTTATCACTATATGGTAGAGTACTTAAATACCAGTTAACCCCTGTTATATCTTACACAATTTTTGAAAGTCATATTATAAAAGATATACATTATCAGCTTAACTTTAGTGAGTGTTCTAAAAATGCATACCTCCAGTATTTTGGACGGCGTCACATTTAGCCCCTCCTGATGTAAGATTCTGCATCTGCATAGAACATTGAATATTTATATTGTTTTTCCATACAGTTGGTATAGTAGATGTAAGTTTCATACATGCTTTTATTTTCCCTTATTTCGATATTCAATTTTGCGTTAACTATTTACATGTGTATAGGTAGTAAGGAAAATATTTAGTGCTTAGCAATTTGTTTACTCTTTTGATTTTAGGAAAGTCAAATGTCATTAGATGAACTTTTAGCTACATACGGAATTCCTGCAAACCCTTACGGGAAAGACGGCGACTCTGTTGCAGTTTCCTGTAGCAACATTTCCAGAGGTAAATCTGGGCGCTTAAAATGCATTCGACACACTGTTACTCCTTCAAGTTTAGCTTCATTACAGGAGGAATCGGTATCATTACCTCCAGCTAAGAAGTTTCGTCGTGCTGCTCACATATCTCCCTGCTTAAATATTGGAAATAATGATATTTCTACAGGAGGAACTAGACCAGTATCATCAGCTAATTACCCAACCATTCGTTCATCGTCAGATATTGATGCATTGGTAGATAAAAACAAAGTCGATACACCTCCATTACGTTGTGTGAGTTATTTGGATAAATTATCAGTGTTTAATTTATATATTATTTGTTCTTCCAGTTAGAATCATTGTTTTGACAGAAAACTGTATTCTAGACGTAAGACAATTCCGGGAAAAAGGTTGACGCACTGTCGTCGTTTAAGTCATGTCCATCTAGCAGATTTATAGGTATATTGTATTATAATTAACTATATTGAAAACATCATGATGCACTGTTTGTCGTTAAATTATACCAATATTTTCGCTCTCACCACATAATTCACGAACTTTTAGATCGGTCTAACACGATGATTTAGACTCGTTTCTAGTTAAATACTCATCTTAAATTCATTGACCAATTGAGCTTCAATTGGAATTCAGGGGTAAACGTTTATATCACTCGTGTCCATTCAATGATTAGTTTCGGGTCAAAAATCTGGTTCATTGATTTTAAGATCTAGCTTTACAATCGATTAGTTTAGACAGTAAAGTTATTTCTTTATCTTTTACACAGTTGGTTTAGGTTATAGACTAGCGCACGAAGCTGTACATTGTTTCTCAGTCAAATTATCATTATAAACTGTGTCAACGATCATATTTAGTTTTGATTTTGTCCTTTACAATCTCTCTCAATCCTCAAAATCACACTCTCAATTGACGGAATGATTTATTGTATAAATTATCTTAGTTTATTCCTAATAATATAAATGAAATTTGGTGCAAATTTTACAAGATTGATGTTATATCCCGTCTCTTTACATAGCTCACTGTATTTCCACATCCACACTCAGTCCCTTGTTCGCATAGCACTAGTCCGGTGTCTATAGATGTATCATCTTCCGATCCTCCTTCAGCCACTGCAACTCCTAATTATCCAAAACAACATGCCTCAGAAGACTCAACTATTAGTCGCAAAAGCTCATCGCGTAGTCATCTACATAGGTCCCGCTCAAAATCTAACCTAGCTATCCATACTTCTGAATTATTGGACAGTGCAACTCCAAATAAAGAGAATCAGTTGGAGGAAGAGGATGTTGATACAAGTGTGCCTAACTTTGAGCTGGATGTAGAAAATCATTTCCAGAAAAATGAACAAACTATTGACGATAAGTTTGAAGTCAACCAAGATTATTCTTCACGTTTCTGGAAGAGTGCAATTACTGGTGAGTAAACTAGATAAATTCGTGTTATGTAAATGACAATTAACCTTGAAACCGAATTTCCCTGTAAAAGCCCCCAGATTGTCACTCTTTGGTAGTTTGCTTTAGCGTCTCAACTAATTCGAAATCGGGTCGAAAATTTGGAAACTAATAGTCCTAGTCTGACCATGATGTGTGTTTTTTAGTCCTTTTTTCATGTACTATATGGTGTATAACAGTAATTTTTGAGTTTTCGCGTCAAAACTGTGTGTCTAATGCGTTTACTAACCTAATCAGTTTTCTACCATTTTATGTCTCGGAAGTGTACGTGTAACATATGATTAATTTTACTCATTCACGAATTACAAGTTTATTTACTTGATTTTAACTCATACTTTTTGGATGAGAACAGGCGATCTACAAGAATCCCTAAAGGTAAAGCGAGGTTCAAATGTGGGACCTACTGATTGAAAATCGAGTGTTTTAAAAATTTGCCACCGCTCCATATTTAGCTGATAATATTAATAGAATGTATAGTGTGACTGAGCTGGTAATTCGCCCATTCTTTCGAGCCCAAAATCCGAAATGTGGATAAATTTCGTATGAACACACTATCCATTTGTGATGGCTTATCGTCTAAACCATCGGACTACAGTTTTCTCTGAAATTAAGTTTAAAGATATGACCTCGCGCAAACCTAACCTTGATTATTGGAAATAATAAGAAATAAGTGGAAACCGGCACGTAAAATGTAGGTACGATCGAAATGTGAACGTTGTTATGATATCTTAGCAATTAAAAACCCTACTAAGTATTATCATTTGTTTATTTCCTTTAGTAATCGGTCCCTCTGACGAACCGAGTTAGTGTAATGAGGAACAAAGTTTGTCAGAACTATGTGATATAGTATATTCACGCAATACATTCCATAGAATATAATCACACATTTATGTATGGAGAAATAAAGGTCAATCTAGAGAAATCGGAAAATGAGGAAAAATCACATATAAAACGAAATGATTCACGTCACTTTTTGTAATAATAATAGGTATAGTATAAGCGCCGATTGTTTTTAAATATCTTGGGGGAGGAGGCGTTGAACTGTCGTTCTAATTGTTTTGCTGAGCATTCCCAATTATTTTTATAAACACTCAGATTCGTTAAAGTATCTAACATGTCACCTGGCTAGTATTTTTTATTATTACTGAGTCATATACGTATTTATTGTAGAGCCATTATAAGAAATTAATTGAAAAGAAATATCTCTTCGCTCTATTCGTCTTTTTCTTCAATGTCGAAATGGGAATTTTCGCTGTATCATAAAGAACAAATGAGATAGAAGAATGGAAATTTAGAAATGATACTGAAGATTTAGATGAAGGTGAATGAATGCAGCTTGCCACATTGACTTGGGTTTGAGTCTCGTGTACAGGATCGTGGATACGCACTGCTGAGGCGTCTCATACTAGGACGAAACAATCGTCCGGTGCTTCCAGGTTTTCAATCGTGATCTGGCTAAGATCAACCTGGAAAATTATTTTAAAGTTAATGATGTTAAACACGTCTTAGTTTGTTAAAACGATGGATCTAGAAGATATACAATGATACAATGTCAATCGATAAGTTGAGGAGCTGATATAGTTTCAGACCCTATTTGATGGTGGTCAAGCTAGAAATGAAATGAAAAAAGAATTGGGAAACTGGACAAGTAAAATCACAAAAGTTCAATATAGCCTTCCTTCGAGGTGCTAACCAACTCAGCAAATGCAAAATTGCTTACAGCAATAAATCCCAACCTTTAAAAGATCTACTAAAAAAGAGGAAACCACACTGGAGAACAACTGGGATGAGATTAAAGAGGACATTTTGGGCCTCAAGAAGCACCATCATAAACAATGGATCTCTGTTGATATCCTGGAAAAGATTCGAGAAAAGAAGAACAAAAAGGCAGCAATCAACAACAGCCGAACAAGAGCAGAGAAAGTCAAGGCACAGGCCGAATACACAGAAGCAAACAAAGGAGTGAAGAGAAGCATTTTCATTCATTTATTTATTTTAACACATAGATATTGGTACAAGGAGGCACCAAATACATATGCACCACACATATCTCATTTGATTTGTGTGAGGGCTGTGATACTGTCCGGGTGCCCAAACCGAAGCAGGTGAAGAGAAGCATTAGAGCTGATAAGCGGAAATACGTTGAAAACCTAGCAATGACAACCGAAAAAGCTTCAAGAAAGGGAAGTAGGAGATAACTGTAAGATACGGCGAAGAATCTGACGAGAAAACAGTAAGTCAGGGCGACCAGTCGGATACAAAAAGGCAAACCAATCACTGCGATTCAAGAACAGCGGAACAGGTAGTTAGAGCACTTCGAAGAGCTCTTGAATAGAGCGACCCGCACTAAACCCACCGGACATCAAATCAGCACATACAGACCTCCTGTTACCTCACTAAAAATTGAATAAATCAGCAAGAGTATCGAAAAAATCAAGAGATGGGAAGCAGCTAGATCAGACAACATACCAGCAGCAGCCTCTGAAGCGGTAGACCTCAGCATACACAAGGGAACATGCAAAACCCTGAAATACAACACAGTGAGCACCAACGAAATCGTACTTGATAAATAAGCTGTGGAAGAGGTAGGAATTTTCACGTACCTGCTTGAGCATCTGGGCTACCTGTTCCTGCCATCTAGATATTTCAACAAGTTATCTATCTTTGTTTGTTTTAATATATCATTATGTCTATTATTCGCACAACCTATACTGCTGCGTTTCTGAAAAATGTACAACCTTTCGTTATTAAAGTTACAAAAAGCTCAAAAAGAGAGAATATGGTTGCTGGCAATATACAACAAAAAGAATGTACATCATTCCCATGTTCATTTACTGGACTGATAACATCTAGCTGGCGACCACTCAGTATTTATCGCGAGAACCGACCAAGAAGAAAGAAACGGAAACTTGTTGAAATACTTTGTGCTGAGAATTCTATATTGTACCAATAATATAATATTGAATAAAGCTAATAATAATAATAATAATCATCATCATCAATGAACAAAGAGGGTTCAGTGCAGACGCAAATGCAAAGATTGGCAAAGAAAGGGCGGCATTCCTACAGTTAAAGACAGTTGTCAACCAACCTCAAAGTGAGAATCTTCAATGCGAACGTCAAGACAGTTTTATTGTACGGAGCTGAAACGTGAAGAACTACTACAACCATAATCAAAAATGTACACGTATTTATAAACAATTGTCCAGCCAAAATACTTGAAATCAATCGGCCAGACACCATCAGCAATAACCTGTGGGAGAGGACAAACCATCTTCCAACTGAAGAGGAAATTAGGGAAATACTGTTGGTGGGTAGGACCATGCGTTGCGGACGTCATCTATCTGCATCATAAAGCAAGCGCTAACTTGCAATCTTGAGGAGAAAACGAAAAGAAGCAGACTAAATAACACGCTGCACCGGGAATCAAAGACAGACATTACCAGAACAAACAGCATTTGCGAACAACTGGAAAAGAGATCCCGGGACATATTAGGTTGGAGAATCTTGGTCGTCGGCCTATGCTCCAAGAGGAGTAACAGGCGTAGGTACGTTTATTTTGCGTGTCATATCATCCCGTTTCTTTGTGAATTTCTTATGGCTGACTAATTCTTACCAAACAATTTGCCTCTGCACCATTACAACAAAAGTGTGTTCACTCTGTTCTGAAGTAGAACTTAGCATTGTATTTGTACTGATCTTTTTATATTTGTTTTCATCTTTGCAATGCTCTGCTGTAATATAAACTAAAACCCTTTCTTTCATTAGTATTTGTTATTTCCTCGAAGATACGACAGGTACAGTCTTTTGTCTAGTGATAATGCATAGCAAAACTAGTTTATGTCTCCTGACAAGTTTTGCTTTCTTTTCATCCCTCAAAAGGTCAAGAAACTACACCTTCGTACAATTCAGACGAAGACGAAGACTACTGTCCAAGTGAAGATAGTGGTCGTGATTGGAAAGGTGTAGGTTTTTTTCAGTGCATTTCTTGTGTCCCAGTATTTTTGTGACCGTTAATACCCAATAACCCAGTGGGAGATTTAGTGAGAACGTCTCTTGATATAATACATGTCTGTTACCATCAATAATTGTTCAGTACCAATCACTGTAGCGAAATTAACAACAGCAGACATCTTAATACTTGCAAGCACGAAATGACCGGTTTAATATGGTTAAATAAGTGAAATTTGTGTCAATCAATAAGAAAGCAGTTGAACATCAACCATTAAAGTACAAGAAAATAAATTCTAGTAACTTATAATTAGTATCGTCATAATACGCAAATTTCAAGTTAGTTTTACAGGTTTGTTGATAATAAATAATTTGTAGTTAAATTCACAAACTGACTTTAACTTGATAACCACTAAAATATAGAGTATTAAACAGCCATTTCATCCTGGTATATAACTCAAATACATATTTTTGGGGTAACTGGTAAATTCAATTCTTTCTTTATCATATATTAACTTGTATTAATTGATTTGTTGTGGATAAAAGAATTTTAAATATGCTAGTAGTTTCTATGTTTAAAATACCTCACCACTATCACCATGAATTTAAATTTTTCGATATCTGTCATGTTAAATTCTCAACTTCAGGTTTTTTCCCCAATAAGTCATATCAAAATTACTTTATTTTATTGATTTAGCACATTTACTGAATTTGTAGATTTCCTTTTGGTGTAGTAGTTGTCTTGTCTTTTGGGCTGTCACTGCTATCAGTGACAGTCGATGTAAAGCCTCGCACATGTATGCGTTAGCCGTAGTCGTCTTACAATATCAGCACGACAAGATAAAATTAACAAGGCTGTAGCATCGTATTCTTTACCGTGAAACTGACTTTGTCTCATATGTAGTGCTTATTTAAACACTGGGATCATTCCACAAATTTAACCAATGATAATGCCTATGTGTCTGACACCAAGTACACCTGTTTAGTGAGCTTTGTAATACTTGCTAGACACTTGTCTTTAGTCTAAATATCTGGAGGATAGATCTAAAAGCCTGAAACTAATTAATTTAGTCCAGCTCATGCTAAGCTATGGTTTAAAACGGAATCAAATTGCGTTGTGCAGCGTGTCATAGGTTATGAAGAGGATAAATCTCTAAAACATGGACCCAAACACGGACCCCAACAATAATTGATCACTTTAAGTTTGTGCAAGATTTAAAACTCGGCTTGATACTGTCTGCAGATATTTCATATCTGCTTTCAAAGAGCAAAGTGTTAGCCTTTTGGATCTCAGATATCCTGAGTACTTCTTTTTGTACTAAAACTTCGTCCACTACTTATATATATCGTGTACGTGAAACAATTTATCAAAGCAAAGTGACAGAGCTTTTAAGAAAATATTATATTAATGGCAGGAACAGTCATACGATTGAGGGTAAAACGATATCTCAGATTCTTCATCCTAACTGTTGAAATAAAAGAAAAAGTAAGGCTTATGCACTACCTTCACTGCCTAAAGTTTTGAATCATCCTTTAGTAATTCCTTAATTACCTACACATATGTCTCGATCAATAATGCCAGGAAATATCAACAGATGGTAGCTCAAATTTTATATCGTTTCTCATATCCACTACATTAAGTGACTTCACATCGTAACGGAAAACTACACAAGAATATGTTTCGTGTTTGCAATTATAAGAAATTTAATCTCTTATGGGAATCATAAATACAGACGACATATGTTTTATCTTTATGGTTTACATCGCGAACTGATCTTAAAGAGCCACTAAAAACAAGAAAGCACTAGACAACTGTCTCGTCGTAGTATAAAACACCACACCGCTAGACGAGAAATCTCAAATTTGATCCATGTTGTGGGGTCGCAGGTGCTCAGTGCTGAGGAGTCCTATATTAAGATAAAATTTACGTACAATACTTCCTGGTTTTCATTGGTTCTCTAACAATGAAAAACCATGATGCAAACTAAAAGTTTAGCATTCTACATAATCCCATCATGCTAATATTTATAATTCACTGACCAACAGTACGAACTTCATATTACGTGCTTAAATTACTTATTCTCTGAAACTCTTTTCTCGCTCTTCACATTTCCAACATGTTAAATAGGAGATAAAAATTGGTGAAGATTATCAGGCAAATATCCCTATACTTGCCCTAGCATCAAATGTAATGGAGAATCAATGTGATGAAAGTCGATCATCGTATTATGGTTCTGAAAGGATTTTTCAAGAATCTAGTCTTGTATGGAAACCTTCGGAAAAGCTCTGTGAAGCTGATGTCACACGCTTTGAGAGATCATATGCCCAAGTTGTTCTGTCAACACTGCCTACTGAACGAACAATAGACGACGAAGAGGTAACTTCGGTCTTTATGCTCAAAGTTATGCTCTAAGTTCACATTTTTCCACCTTGACTACTAATAAGTAAAGTAGTAATGCTGAAATACACTGATTTCTCGAAAATACTATAGGCAATTTCAGTTTAATTCATTAAATTAGAATGTCCGTTTTACTTTATACTCACTCGGAATGCATATACCAGATGTTTTATCGTTCATTTAGTGTTATTAAGCTTAATACCTCATCAGTACACTTGTTTAACCGCAGGAATAACCATTATTATTATTATTATTATTATTATTATTATTATTATTATTATTATTATTATTATTATTATTATTATTATTATTATTATTATTATTATTATTATTATTATTATTATTATTATTATTATTATTATTATTATTATTATTATTATTATTATTATTATTATTATTATTATTATTATTATTATTATTATTATTATTATTATTATTATTATTATTATTATTATTATTATTATTATTATTATTATTATTATTATTATTATTATTATTATTATTATTATTATTATTATTATTATTATTATTATTATTATTATTATTATTATTATTATTATTATTATTATTATTATTATTATTATTATTATTATTATTATTATTATTATTATTATTATTATTATTATTATTATTATTATTATTATTATTATTATTATTATTATTATTATTATTATTATTATTATTATTATTATTATTATTATTATTATTATTATTATTATTATTATTATTATTATTATTATTATTATTATTATTATTATTATTATTATTATTATTATTATTATTATTATTATTATTATTATTATTATTATTATTATTATTATTATTATTATTATTATTATTATTATTATTATTATTATTATTATTATTATTATTATTATTATTATTATTATTATTATTATTATTATTATTATTATTATTATTATTATTATTATTATTATTATTATTATTATTATTATTATTATTATTATTATTATTATTATTATTATTATTATTATTATTATTATTATTATTATTATTATTATTATTATTATTATTATTATTATTATTATTATTATTATTATTATTATTATTATTATTATTATTATTATTATTATTATTATTATTATTATTATTATTATTATTATTATTATTATTATTATTATTATTATTAAGAAGCCTCATTCAACATTATACTTTTGGTACAACATAGCATTCTCAGCATAAACTATTTCAACAAGTTTCTTTTTCTTATATCTTGATCGATTGTGACGATAAATTTCGAATGATGACCAGTTAGATTTTAGGAATTCGGTAATCCACATTTGATCAATGTTCATTCGTTTCATTGCATATTGCCAGCCACCATGATGTCGCTGATTGTACCTTTCTGTATCCCGTATAGCGAAAGGTTGTAAACTTTTCATAAACGCGCCCGAATAGATTGTGAGCACAATAGACATATTGATGTGCTAAAACAAACAATAAAACAGATAACTTGAAGAAATATCTAGATCGAAGGAACAGGTAGCCCAGATATTCAAGCAGGCCGCCGGAAGTAAGGTCTGCTAGTCTTAGCTTATAATTGTTATCTTAGCGACTCAAACACGATTTCAACCACATATTTATCTTTCTATTTTATTATTTACCATTATCTTATTTTTAGGCTTTATTCTTGTTAATGCGTTGTGATTATGATACGGATGAAGCGCTGCAACGATTACAATTTAAAGCAGTATCACCAATGGGTATGATGACTTTCTTAAAACCCGATGTCTACACATGTGTGTATTTATGTTTTCTGTCGTTTGTGTGATTATCTTGGTTAGATTTTGAATAGTAACCACGTTTAATTTCTAATTATTCCGTTGATTTCAAATTAAAACTCAATTTTATTCACATTCAAAAGAGTGATACATGCGAGCAAATAGAATAGTAATGAGATCTCGTATTTCTTGTTGTTGCAAATGTATTTATATCTCTATTCTAAAGTCTCGTATTTTCAGTGCATATAAATCATCTATTTTGTTTACATAGTTATGACATACTTTCTCCATCTTAAAAATGCTTTGAAAACTCATCCGTCCATATTACTGTCAAGCTAAAGTCACGTTTGGCATCGATACTTTAAAGATTTCGATCATAGGTATCTTCAAAAATTGCTCGAATATTGTGGAACGGTTTTGAGTTTAGGCATAAGTACTAAACAAAAATGACATGTCGGTTGATGGGAACGGGAATCTTTATGGACCGAGCCGGTTGGGACACATGTCACGTCGTATGCCCCCCACTATCTCCCTCGATGAGTAATATTTACTGTAGTAGGTGTAGTTTGCAAAAAATAGGGGCAGATAAACCAAAACCTAGCATCCGTCCATGGAATCATTCACTGTTAGACTGAAGTGTGCTGGTACATCCTCACTACCTAGTTGGGCTCCACTCAATTACTGGTTGGTGAGTGGCTGGATAACATAGTTTAAAACCAGATTTAGTGGAACAAATACATTCATTCTACATCCTCCTTTAGATCATTAGTTTCAATATTCCTTCATATATACTTTTTTCCGGACCATATTCTCTGATGTTTAGTTTCTCTCAGTATCTATTCCGGTACAGTTATTTAGGCTCGTTTACTGTTTGCTTTTTATTGTCATCTCGTTTGACTGACTTGATATGATGAGTTTGGCTAATTCACATTTCCGCCAGGGTCTATCCCTTGTATCCCATGTAAAATTGCACCATAAATATTTAGGCAGTTATATCAGTTAATTTTTATCATGCTATAAATGCATATGATAAATCGCATTCTTCCTATATACATTCCTTTACATACCTACGCTTATTAATAGTACACATTCATGAGTGTTCCTCAAGTAAATCCCATTACACTCTTTTCTCATCATTGCTACTGCATTATTTCGATTCCCTTTGCTCTCCATCTTGTTATTTCCATCTCGTCGTACCAATATGATATAACGATTCAAGCCAGTGCACATCTTTACCAGGCTCTGCGTTAATAATGAGTCAATGACATGATGATAGGGTGTTTTTGCTTTCACTAATATTGTAATTCGATTTGCATGTTTTTGACTGCGTAATAATTTGTACTAGATGCCTGTTTTTTAATGTCAGAATAATGTATATTTCTTCGAAAGATCGTTTGTATCGGTCCAGTGGTAAACGTAGATGGTCGTTAAATATGTATTCACTATAAAAACCAACCACTTGAAAAAATCAAACTTATTATGTAAAAGGCGAAATGTGATTCAGAAGTAAACCGAACTGTACGTTTTTTGTTAACATTTATCTTAGTTTTAAACAAACGGAAATTGTAAATAGGCGTATTTCGTTTTAAGTACTATGTACTTCCGGCCACTTATCTCTATTCTATGGCTTAATATTACCAACGATCTGCATAATCTTCCTTTTATAAGATTCCAGATTGAAATTTGTGTATAGTTTGCTTTTGTTATCGATAAATTAAAGTTGGTTTATATATATACGAATATGTTAAAATAAATCAATGCACAACATTGTTTTCGTTAATTATATCATGTTACATTAGGTAACAACGCTAATTTTTAATTCGTTTTTGTATTGATTGTTTACAATTTATTTACGCGAATCATCAAGTATCAGGTCCCATGTTGCGACCGACTGATTCCCACAAATAGGAATTCTCATAAAGTGCAAGAAATGTTTTGGAATGATAAATAGCTCCTTTTTCAGCCCTGAACTTTTTTATTTTGCATAGCAGATAGAAAGTGTTCATCGGTCGCTAGATTTCAGTACAGACATATTTACTCTTGTTTGGTAAAACCTTCGACTGTGTAATGTTGAAGTTACATGTAGAGTACGAGATAAATATGTTAAATTGGAAAATGAGATTAGTTTTTGCGTTGTGTGTTGCGTAAGACTACTTCAGAGTTCGATGCTGGCCAATGTGTGATTGAAATTAAAAAAAGTAAGGTTGATTAAACCAATAGGTGAGACTAGTTTGTATAGTTGGTGAATATAGATCTAGTTGTTATAATCGCAGACATTATCCATTATGTACTGTCCTTTCTTATTTCATTCCCAGCTGTTCCCGGTTATCTAGATTCATGGTCGGAGTCTGATTGTGCAGCATTTGAGAAAAGTTTCGCTTTATGTGGAAAAGATTTTCGTCAAATACGAGAGACACGAGTGAGTAGATTTCACTTACCTCAAATACCGCATTATCTATCTAGATCTGTTTTTCCATGCCAACGGTCAGATTCAAGTTACTACTATCATAATGTTTATAACACAATATTCAATGTTTAATGGTAAATAGGCATGAATCTGTTTATCATGATATATCTGTTTATTCAATAAAAAGGAAATATGACCTGATGTATACCACGTTTACTGTTGCTAAACATAGTTGGAAACGTATTTTTCACATGCGTCAACGACTAGATAACATAGTTAGGTCGTAACTTGCGACCTGACCATAGTTGAGATATGCATAATGATGAATATATTCTAGGAAATTCCTTATGTTCACTAGGTGGCTGAAGTAGAAATGAACTGAAAAAGACAATCATCCGGTCATTCTGTTTATATGGCAGAAATTTATTAAGTCATTTATCATTCGTTTAAATTGTATGGACGTGGTAGTAATCAATCTGGTCGTCTACATTTTACTCTCCTGTTCTTAAATCATCCATCGTGTTAGTGTAGATTGCGACAAGTTGAATTGTGTGCTTTCAACCTTTGGTTGCCAAACGTCAAGGCTATATTGCATATTGCCAATCACAAACGTAAATGACTCGATGTCATTTTTGAAAATTAGTTTTGCAAGCTGAATAATAAAAATAACTCACTACTGACAGGTTTTCGATTGGTTGTCTTGTTCATTTTGTATAATTCCACCACTAAAATATTTATCCTGTTTTTATTTCTTTGTTCTGGAATAGTATGCTAAATGGTGTACATTAATCTAGCATAAATGATTCCGTTGTCCATACTTCGCTTCGGAAGTATAGTGTACTCTAAACCTTAGCAGTTTGATTGGGAAGCTTTCATGCTTGCTTGCGACAGTATCATTTCTAACTACTCAATCACATCAAGAAAATATATTTCCAGTAGACACACCCTTGTGCTTCAAGTTTTCTTTAATTCCATGATGTATGTAACATGAATAGGTATGGTTACCCTACATGTCGTCGTTTTTTACTCTTCCGTGTTATTTCACTGATCAATTTCTTTTATTAACTTTGAAACTCGTTAATTCAATTGAAATAAACGAATCTAATCAACTTTTTGAGGAAATTGAAGGGTATAGTTATCAAAAAATTGGTGATATGGAAAACCATTGGAAAGGCGTAAGCATCAAACATTTGTCTTTAGTTTTGCAATCCACATTCATGACCCTCAATTGTTTTTTAATGGAAATCTGAAGTTTCAAAAACTAAAAGCCTACTACATGCACTAAAATCCATCGTGTTTTCCTGTTTGATTAACTTCTATTGATTGTTTGTTTTTGTCAAATAAAATCATTTTATAGCTTCGTCATAAAACTGTGTCGGAGCTGATTCATTTTTATTACCTTTGGAAGAAGACAGCACGTCATGATGAGTTTGCACGAATATATCGTAGGGATAAAAAGAAATCTTCACATCCTAACATTGCGTAAGTGTTTTTTTACAACTGTCGTAGTCTTTCGTCTACCTAAATCTAATTTTCAGTAACTAGATTTCCACCAATGTCGGTATGAAAACCATGAGATTAAAATTACTTCATACCTTTCTTTCTACTGACTAATTCTTTCTCCGTGTATTATATCCTTATATGCAATCTTCTATAAATTACTACCATTGAAGTAACTACTATGAATTCGGTGTTCATCTTGTGTTAATGGGGCACAGGGACTTGAACCGAAGCATATACGTATCTGGTCCTACGTTATAGCTAACTGACCAGTACAATGTGTGACTTGAATTGTCTAGTAAAATATTTGCTTACTCTATGATTTGTATTGATGAGTGACAATCCTTACTATCCCGATTCCGATTAGGACATTCTCCTATTTTTACGAGTCACAGCATATTTGTCAGTCTTTATGAAACAAAAGTGAAACACTACTTTTCAACCAATTTTGGTTGGTTTTATCCCTCAACTGTAACTTTCTGGACGTGAAACGCCGTTCAATTAACCTATATAATTGTGATGACATTCCCAATTAAAACTTGTAGTTCGGCAATATATTTTTCCGCGACTTCCTCTCACTTTTACATAGTTTGAGGGATATTGAGCCTATGCATTTATCTGGATTCTTTTCAATGTTGTTTATTATTAACTGTTCCGTGGTAATATTTGGTTCTGTTATTTCTATCCTTTTATTCCCAAACAATATGAAACTAACTGCACTGCTTGTCCTACTTTGTTTAACATAACGTTTTATGTAGCTACTTTACTTTGTTTTACTGATATTCCACTGACATTCACCGCACAACCATTCAATATATGTAGTTTTTTACTAAATCGAATACATTGTTTAAACGGAACAAGATGTCCTAATAATGTAGATTGATATGATGAAACGACTGTACTATTAAAAAACTGTTAGTCATTTCTCAGTATGGAATTAACATTCGTTACAAATCACTCATCTGCTCAATACATATATACATCCCGTAGGAAATAACCTTACTAAAAAACGTTAGCCAAAATAAAGTTGAAGGATCTTTATTGTGAAGATTATTTATTTATTTGAACACATAAATATTGGTACAAGAGAGCGCCAATATATATGACACCTCGTGGTGAAAACCTATATTCTTCGGAAGTCAATAGGCTGATGCCCTTTTTAACAACCAGAGCAACAACTAATATAGGTACAATGAATGTTCGGACAATATGGAAAACTGGGAGGACCAATCAAATAGCCGTGAAAATAAGAAGACACTAGTTGACTGTTCTCGGAATCAGTGAAACCGATTGAACTCAAGCTGTACAGAAAAGGTTAGATTTGCGAGAGATGCTGCTGTACTCCGATCACGAAGAAGAAAATGCGGTTGTACACTCAAGGAGTTGCTCTGATTCCATCTAAAGAAGTACGTATAGCACTGATAGAATGAAAATCTCACGAACCCAGGATCATCAAAGCATCCTTCAAAACAAAGAAGGGAATCACAATGCATGTTATCCAATATCGTGCTTCCACCAAGATCAGTTCTACGAGCTGCTGCAATCGATCATAGCGAAGTGTTCAGAAAAGAACCTGACCATCCTAATGGGAGACCTAAATGCCAAAGTTATAATGGATAATAACGAGTATAGAGATATAATTGAACGACGTGGACTGGAAAAAAGAGACGAAGACGATAAGAGATTTGCGAATCAATGGGCATTCAACAAAATGGTTTTAGATGTCATAGTGTTCCCCCACAAACTCGTATTCGATCTGAACGTCAAGACAGTCCTATTGTACGTAACTGAAACCTAGTGAACTACCACAAAAAGTACTTATAAACAATTGCACTACGCATGATACTCAATGTCCGTTGGTCAGATGCCATCAACAGCCTACTGTGGAAGAGAACAAATCAGCTTCTAACTGAAGAGGAAATCAGAGAAAGACTCTGAATGTGGATAGGATAACCGGAAAGCATCAAACTACATCACGAAACAGGCGCTAGCCTCTAATCCTGATGAAAAACGGAAAAGATAACAAAAACACTGCGCCGATAATTGGAAGCAGGTATCACAAGGATGAAGGGCCAGTAGAAAGAATTGTACAGGACGGAGTTGGATGGAGAATGCTAGTAAGCGGCCTATGCTCCTCCACGAAAGGTAGCAGGCGTAGACATGAAGTTACAAATCAATGTTTGGCCGTGATGTGTTAGATAATAAATAACATTGTTTATTTAGGCTATGCTATTATGATGGAAAATTAATTACAAACATTTGCCTGACTGCTTGTTTTTATTCCATGATTTCTGAGATTATTACAACTTTGTAAAGTGATGAATTTAAATGTGAAACTTTTGTTTTTATGCTTTATTTCGTACACACTCCTGTTACTAATTACTTGACAGTGATTTTATGGATTGTTTGGCTATGGAACAAGAAATTCTAGCGGAATCCTATATGCAAAATGCCAGTGATATAGTTTTGTCAACTGCAACATCGAATGCAGATATTCAATCCTATCCTCATAAATCCATTCAGCATACTTCAATCAATAATATCGGTTCCATAAAAGCTGGTGGTTGTCAGATTGGCTCATCAATCATTTGTAACAATGGTCAAAATACTGGAGTAGTGTCAGCGAATTGTAGTGAAACATGTACTTCAAGAAGTCCTATCAATCGATTTACAGCTTGTCAGACGATATGAGTAAGTTGTAATAAATGTTCTTATTTAACATTTTCTTCTTTATATTCCTAAATTGTAGGGTATATTGATTTTAGCATATTGTCATATATTAATTGAATAATTATGACAGAGCCAGATATTAAGCACCCTAGTCTGGAGTTAACCTAATGGCGTTCGAACTAGTACCTCTGGTTGAAAGTCGAGTGTTTCATTGTTTAAGTTTAAGTAAATGTTTAGAATGAATTATCTTTACACATATATCTATGAAGTTCGAGCAACATGTTAAAGTATATGATGGAAATCGTTTGTGCATATCACTCTAGCATTACGCGAAAAAAGACATCTAATTAGCCTTACTTTCGAGAACTTCCACAAGTGTTTTCGACTGGGAAAATAGGGTAAATGTACTGCCCCGAATAGGGAATATTTGGGGACAGATTAGTCTGTAGTAAATGATAAAAACTAATGTACAATAATTGTGTTTAATTCCAAGACCTAAAATCTTTGGTATTAGTTATGAACTGAATTTCATCGAATTTCAGAATAGTATTGACACAATAAGACGACGTTTGTGTATCCTTGATGTTATCTCATCATTGAAACAATCATCCAACCAAATTGTTAGTTGAGATGATATTTAAATTACTTTAAATGTACTCGCGACTTTCTGCTTTGTGAAATGTTCACATTTCCATGGGTTGCTGTGGAATGATCATATATATATATATATATATATATATATATATATATTTCCTACTGTTTCTCTAAAAAGATTTTTCAGCCAACTTAATTTCAAGTATTTTTTCTTTCGGTGTTTTAGTAAACAGTGAAGTCACCACCAGTATATGCTTAGATGCTCCTGGAAATCAATGCAAATCGAAAACAAATGGTAACTCGTTGAATATATCAGTAAATACAACTAATAATAATAATAATAATAATAATAATAATAATAATAATAATAATAATAATAATAATAATAATAATTACAATGGGGCTTTTTGTATAAAGCAATCAGAGCATATGCCTAGTTCATCATCTACACGTTCTACACGTACAGCATTGTCATCAACTGTAACTGTTTAGAGTTGACGGCGTTGGAAAATATATTCGATACTTTTTTTGGCTACATTTTACTGTTTCTTGTTCTACATGTAACACTCCAATTTTTTTATGCACTGCTTCATTTAAGATTCCGATCTCTTGATAACTTAAGGTTTTTTCTACTGATTTTTAAGTGATTGTACTTCGATTTGCTGTAAAACTTTCTTGTTGTCTTTTGGTAGTTTGCTTGTATGTTAGATCTATGTAAGTCTGAATAATGTGTATTATATAAAAAACTACTGCTACTTTAAAAACAATGTGAGTTCAAAAATAGTATTTCTCATCACTCATGTTATTGTATGTAGCTAGGTATATACTGTTGCTCTTCATTATTGTCATGTTATCTTTTGCTTCCCGTAATCAACCTGTACTCATGTTTAGAGTATATTTTCCTGATTTACTTCCATTATATTTGTATTTTTATCCTGTGCACACGGATGTTTTCTTACTAAATGTTCCTGTCTTCTACTGTACTGATAAAACTAAGATAGAAATGCTGTTAATAACATGTATAAAATATAAATTGTGTTACAACACTTGTCTAGAATTTATGTTACGCCGTCTTTCAAAACAAATCTGATCAGCGCTTCGTTAAAGATGCAGTTCAACTAATCTGTTACGCGATGCATGTTGATTCTAAAACAATTAGCTGTAGCATGATTTACCAAGTTTAGTAGTGTTTACAACTAACTAGCTAAGTTTAATAAGGCCTAGGAACACCAGGCATCTAGGAGAAAATTTAGTATTCCAGGTGGTCTGTGTAGAGCTGCTTTAAAACCAGATAGGCGAGAGAACTAAAAGTTGAGAACGAAGTCAAGAAACTTCACTTATTGATTATGAAGCAGTACGCCAACACAAATAATGATATCAGCGAAATCTAACCAGCCATTCAAAGGTTATGAAAACAATTTTCATCCTTCAGAAGTTTATTTAATAGAGCATGCAGTGAAGTACAAAATGAAATAATTATTGCACGGTTATTGTGATTCCTGACCCCGATTGGTGAAAAATGTCTGGGTGCGATTAAAAACACTTAGAAATAAGTGACTGGTTAACTTGTTTTTGAAAGTGTGTGCTCATGTGATAATGAACAAACATTTTGTTGCCTGTAGGAGTTTGTTAATTGGTTTTAAACTGTGCATCTTTGTAATGTGGTTCGTCCGAATGTAAGTAGCACAAAGTGGTTTGATTGGGTGTGAGGATTTGCATTTTTACACTTTAATTTTGTTTTTGATAAAAGATTCTGTCGGACTGTTCAGTCCGCATTTCGATAAAGAAATTATGACTTGTGAAGAAAATAGACGTCAGTCCCATTAAACTGCCGTGCTGTACTCCTGACTGTGAATAGATGTTGAGGTAAGAAGTTGGATTAAGTTTTTTCGGTCACATAAAAGTGGAACTGAAGTCGTTAGGTATCGTGACAAGAGAAATACCATGCATGTTATTAAAAGTAAACTGATAACTAACTTTAATAGTGATTGCTGATGTTGAAAGCCTATAAAATGCCTAATACACACGTAGTAAACTGATATTTATTTTGCTATTTCGACGAGTTATGTTAACACAGCTTGATCTTGTGATAATTGTTTCGTGCGTGTAAACATATGAACAAATCACCGTGATAAGATAATGACTGCAGAATGTATTAATCATGCTAAACGTCAAGGATCGGTGAATTAATAAGCGTTTATTCTTTCTTAAACTAATAATAATTCCAGAGAAAGAATCAAATGATATTTATACTTGTTATAACTTGTAACCTTTATGCCCTGTTACTTGCAAGCAGAAGCGATCTGAAACACAACACAACAGTCAGGGCTGGCAGATGCCACTCAAGTGAGAACACGGCGTGCGAGCACAACAGAGATATATTAAAAATTGAATTACGCGGTTTAAGTACAAAAAGGGAAGTCTATTACAAAATGGTTTACTCATTATCCAGCAGGTTTAGCTTGCGCAAGCCTTGTTCTTCTTCTAGTACGTTCACTTTCTGTTGTCCTGCAATAAGGAAAACAAACTTGCATTAGTAAAGTCACACGTAATGATTTTTGATACTGTTACAGAAATATTGGTCTATTAAGCGCTAATTAACGGACTTGTGTGACATAATTTCTTAGGTCGATTGAACTCCTAAATGCGAATAAGGTCAACTGTACTAATTGACATTTAGCTTTGCCGTTTACTTTCGATATAATAAATAAAAGCCTGTATTCGTCTAGCTGAACAATGTGACAAATACTGGAACACTTATTGGAGTTTGTATGTACTGTTGTTGAAAAGATCAGTGTTCATTAGATGATATCGACATTGAAGAAAACCATCAAGATGTATTACTAATGTGCGGACTATAGTGTCATTATGATTATTATCCTTACTTGACTATGTAGCTTATTCAAGAGGGCTTGATTAGGATTTATCAATGTTAGTCCAGTTGACCTCACCCATAGAAATAATTTTGGTGTAACATTGAACTGGTCCGAGTGCACAATTTTCAACTCGTTAATCATAACTGAGACCTGTTTGTATTCAGTTTTATATCAGTATTGACTGAATTGTTCTACATAGGAAAGGAGTTCACAGATACTGCTAAAGAATACAATGTCTACTTCATTTAATTCACATTTAACATAATGGCATATATTAAGATACTAGATATTGCTTATCGATGGATACTAATACGAATTAACCTTAGCGCAGATAATAAATATTTGGTAATTGTAAGGCTGAACATCTAATGCTATTATGAGTGAAGAACACACGGTCTAGTGAATTTCTTACCGAAATAGTACGAAACGCATCAGATGAAACTAGCTCCCGGATAATTAACGCTAGATGCAACGACGTCGGAACTGTAGTCGAAAATACAGAAAACACATAGAATGCGATCGACAGGAGTTTATTGACGCAATCTGTAAGAAATTGAAAAAGCAGAACTTGGATCAAATTGTACGTGGCCCGAAAACGGACCTTTACTCAGTCTCTTCACATTTATACTTGTCCTGAATAATCACATCATTATACTCCAGTTATCGCACCACACATGGGAATTGTTGTCGTAGCTCAGGTAATTGCACTCATAATTGTGATGCACATTCGTACAGACAACAGTCCCGTAACCTTCAGTAAATTTACGACAGATGAAGGCCGGACACTGAGTGTTCACTGCAGCCCTTCATGCACAGCTTGCGCGTTTCAAAAAGGGCAGTGATTTTGTACGTGTTGTGATTATCCTTGCTTTTGTTTACTTGTTCCATCAAAAGCATTCTTGGTCCACTTTAACTTGAAGTATTTCGGTTAAGGTTTTAAATCTTGCTAAACTTTGTATTGCGGTACCTTCTTTCTCATTGACTGACACTTGTGTTCATATTGTGTTTTAAACCCTCTTAATCTGATTACAATGGTTGGTTGTATTTATAAATGTGGACAGCCAAACTGTTTGTTCGTCATGGAGGAAGGAATGGAGTGCAATGAGTGCAAATGGTGGTTCTATAAAGTGTGTACCCGTTTAAGTCCTACTGCATACAAAAGATGCTCGAAGCCTAACTCGTATCAGCTTTGCATGTTTTGCTGTACAAATAAGACACTGCCAATCCAGGAGGCTATGAGCCTATTAGCTTTGGCCTGTAAGAAGATAGATGGTGGTTGCGCTGGTAGTGTTGGCGAAGATTGAGTCACTATAGTAAGTGCTGCCTGCCTGCACCTACCAGACACCCATTTGTACAACACGCAATTGAACCTTCTAGCCCGAGACAATTAATCAGCGTTACGCCATTAGATATTGGTGGCCAAGTTGCTGCAGCAGTAACTGAAGATCCCGGCAAAACTATCACCGTCCTGAGCAGTTCCAATGTAGATGTTGCGACTGATGAGAAACTGTTGACGCGGAGACGTAGAAGAGTATGAAAGATAGCCAAAGTAAGATCTCGTCAAAGATTGTTGTGATTCATACGATCGACTCCTATGATTCTGTTAAAAGAAAACTAACGGTAAGATGCCTGTAGTCAATGTTCAGGATCTGACGTCACAGTCAAAAGCCGTGAACACGATTTTCAAAGAAGCTTAACGTCATCCTAGTTTGCTTATTTGGAATCTAGAGGAGTCGAAAGACAACGACCTTGTCAAAAGACATGTACACGACCTGCAGTTAGTAGAATCCGTAATCCGAAATGGACTACCTGAAGAGGTTTCAAGAGTGCATATTGAAGGTAATACAACACGGTAAATGGGTTGGAGTCGAGACCAAACCAAGAAGGATCTTGAAGTTGGTACTCGTGAATTTTGAGGAAATAAACATAACATTGAACAACTCACACAAAAACTAGTGATTCAAATATACGTATTCGACCACATAAAGGATCAAATCAAGTATAAGAATGCTCTTAGAAAGTTAAGAACTCGAAAGCTAAATAGCGAAAAGAACCATACGATGAAGGGTTTTCGGGTAGTCAGGACATAGAAGCCGATGCTTACGAGACATGTATGTATAGAATGACTGATTCCCAAAGCACCCTAAAACATTTATCACCGATCGGGGTCAGGAATCACAATAACCGTGCAATAATTGTCAACTGAAGTCACACATCTCATATGTGCTTTCGTTGGAACATCACGAGAGTGGTGAAAAGAATATTAAAAAAAACGAGCAGACAATGTTCGTGACTATTGAATTGGAGTCATTTTTGATGTAATGAATAAAGTTAGACTACTTGGACTTATTCTGTTTAATTAAGTCTTTTTGTAAGCAAGAATTGTATAACAGGTTAAAAATACAAGCCTATGTATGGCGATGGAGTTACAAACAACTGTATTAATGTTGATTGGAAAAGAGGACGAAAGTTTATGGTCGTGTGTGTTCTTAAAATGTGACATAACATGGGACACACAGTATTCGGATACACAAATAGCTCTCTTTTTATCGTCGAAGCCATCACAGCTCATTTTTATTTGCATATTATAGAACGAACCTTCAATGACACACTCAAATGAAACAAGTAATCTTCATAATACGTGAAGGTTTGCTAAACAGGGACATAGTGGCCGAAGATGAACGCCTTAACTACTGGGCTACCCTGACTGTAGAGTGCGAAATACCTGATCATTATCCAAATAGTGTTTGATTGGAACTCAACTAATAGCACTGGGTGTTGGGGACTTGTTAGGTATTTTCTGACACTGATAGTTCTTGAGTTAATGATCTGTTTTAATCTCCAACTTTGAGTAGAATTAGTCTTTCTACCAGGCCAAATCTATATGTATGATGTGTTTATCTCAATTTTGATCCCAAGAAGAATTTTTTTCTGTCATTATCCGTAGGGTTTCTCGTATCGTTTCAGGTTCACAGGTATGATCACACAAATTCAGCGAATCATGCACGAATGGATAATTTTTCATGATTTTAGGTATTATTGATTAAACAAAAATAATCAGAAATTGCTTGTCGCCATTGTCGTATCTAGATTTATAGAAACATAAATGTAGTTGAACATGCTAAATATTGACTGAATCTTTCGTCAACGGCTTAAATGTGTAAGCTTTGTACAAAAATTTCTCATTACTTGTTTTGACTCATTATTTTGTGTATGATAATTAGACGTGATGTCTTTTAGTTCGTAAAGTAAGACATTACACAGGTAATTGATATTAACCTCTTTGTAGATCATAAAGCATAAGGATAATGTTTTTGTTACAGAATACCCGCTTGAAGTCCTTATGATTAACGTACGCTAAGTGTATCTTGCATAGGTAGTACATAAAATTCGAAACATCTCGTCAACTCATTTGAATGCTCAGCGAAGTGACCATAACGCACGAAAACCTTTAGCAGCTGCTGCGTTACAGTTCGCATTTGCTTTCAAGTTGTGACTTACTATTACCCCTAAGTCGATGTTCCTACATTCATGGAAGGGATGTACCGTCGATAATATATAGGTAACTGTTATCATGTCCGATATACATGAGTAGACTCTTCCCAGAATTAATTTCTAAGCCTCAA